CCAGGGCTTTAGGCACATCATGGAAGACAGGTCAGATCTCAGTCACGCTCACATTATGACCACACTGGAGCCACCCTCCTGACCCATTCGCACTGCACAGCAAGTGGCACAATGCTTCCTGCTTTCTTCAGCAACAGGAGCCAGCTCTCTACCAGCATCTGGCAATGGATCTGCTCAAAGGCAGGTTCAGAAACATTTAATGTCTCCTTTACCTGCCCCAGATGATGTCTCAGACCATATCAGAGGCCTCACTAGCGCATCTGCTCTCCATCAGAGTACAGATACCCCAGCGCAAGGCAAGCTGGCTGTGTGAGCTGGATGGCAAGTACAGGGCCAGGCATCCTGGGAAGATGCAGGCATCACTGGAGCCACTTACACTGCTTAACTGAGGATAAGCCAGAGCAGCAGAATGACTTACTCTGTGGTACAGTGAGAGGGCTCAGGAGACTGGTTTCTTTCTGGCTGGGCCTGCTCTGCAACTCAAGGCTTCAAACAGAACAGGTCTGCAAACAGGAGCTGCCTGATGTTCCCCAACAAGGGGCAAAAGAGGGGGAGAAATGGACAAAACTCCCCTGACCACGGCTCCAGGGGATGGCTCCAGGTGCCAGATTGTCATGCAGGAGCACAGCAGAGCCGAGCTCATGTCATGGCTGGGACAGGGCTGCATTAAGGACTGAAGAAGGTTGCACATTTGCCCCGACTCCTTCTCCGCCATGCTCTGTGGGAAGCACGGTGCAGCAATGCTGCCAGCGGTGAGTTGCCATAGCAATCCCCCCCAAGCATGCCCCCCTGCCTCCCTCCTTTGTCTCTGCTCCCCCATGACTTCCTGTCCTCTCACTGCTGCCCCACACATAAAACCTGCTGCACAACACCCAAAAGCCTCAACACGCTTCTAAAGGGCTGTTCATCACCCCGAGGAACAACAGGGGCCAGAGGTCAAAGCCCACCCCAGCAAGCAATCATCCCCACCCATTTCACAGGCAAGGTGCCTAGTCTGGACCTGTGTGCATCACACCCCACCGTGCCCAGTCCTGAGGTGCAACATAGGAGAGAGCTGGGCAGCCAGACTTGGGGTGTAGAGGCCCCTCTGGCTGCACCTCCCATCATGCTGTGGCAGGCAAGGATGTTTCAACATCACAGCCTGCCCCACACCGCCTGCTCCATGGTGGTGACAAGCGGTCCCTGTCAAACCCAGACCAGCACAACAAAACTGCCTGCATGTCAGAAATCCCCATGAGCTCTTTCTACCTTGTGGCAGCACCAGGTTTGATGGAAACAGGGGTCCCTGACTCTTTTTGCTGCTGCCTGGCAGGCATCTCAGTCCCATTGCATTTCCACTTCAGGCAGGCCTGTTCTGCTGCATCAAACCTTGCTGTGGCTTCGACCAGAGACAGGACCCTGCTTTGCTTCCTAAAAAACTGTTGTCTACTACTGTTATGTGTCGCTAAGCAGTTACCCAACCCAGCATGTAAGCAGAGCTCCTCTCCCCTTCATCTCTCCCACACAGGCACAAGATACAAGGGGAAGACAAAGGATCCTGCTGAATCACACTTAGGTTTGATACCTGCCAATATCTTTCAATGAATTAATTAAATGAGTTAATAGAATGGATAAAAAAGAACTTCTAAAAGCTCTGCTTCCCTTCCCAATCGGTCCTTGCCCAGATCTACTAGGGCCCAGCACAACCAGTTACATCACTTGAGGGTTGAAGCAGAAGCTAGCAAAACCACCTTGGTCCTGATCCAGGGTGAGTCATGAGCTCAAGAGACCATGCAACTTCCTTCTGATACCATCAACCATGTCTTAGACGGGCTAAAAATAAAGATGGGCCAAAACTGCAGAGCCATGTCTTGCCTCAACATGTAACTTAGCAAAGCTCAGCGCTAAGCTCAATGCTGCAGAAAAATCACCTGAGCAGGTAGAAACCAAAAAGCACAGAGAGGCCAAAAGTCTTGGGTGTACAAACAAGGGAGAAGCCAGGAGACCTCACCCTGTGTTGCACTGGTGGATGGCAGTGGCAGATGCCAAGCAGCCATCGAGCCGTAGAGAGGGCACTCATCTCACTCAGCTGTGGGCTTTGGAGTATTTTCACATGCAGAGGTTTCATGGAAGGCCGTTTTCTGCACCACTTGCACCCATCCAAGACAACAGGAAATGATTGCTGCAAACAGGAACGATGCTGCATTTTTTGCAGGAAAAGGCTGAAAAGCTGCAGCCTTCTTCTGTCCAGGTTTCAGCTTGGATAGAGTTAATTTTCTTTCTAGTTGCTGGTACAGTGATCTGTTTTGGATTTAATGTGAGGATAATGTTGATAACACACTGATGCTTTAGTTGTTGCTAAGTAGTGCTTAACCTAAGTTAAGGATTTTTCAGTTTCTCATGCTCTTCCAGCAGGGATGTGCACAAGAAGCTGGAAGGGAGCACAGCCACAACAGCTGACCTGAACTAGCCAAAGTGATATTCCATACCATAGGACAACATGCTCAGTACATAAAATGGGGCAAGCTGGTCAGGGGGGCTGATTGCTGCTCAGGGACTGCTGAGCACTGGTCAGCAGGTTGTGCACGGTTGCACTGTGCATCACTTGCCTTTTCTTGGGTTTTACTTCTCTTTTTGTTCTCTCCCTTTTCTTTACAGTTATTATTACTATATTTTAACTATTAAACTGTTCTTTTCTCAACCCATGAATTTTACCTGTTTTCTGATTCTCCTCCACATCCCACCAGGGAGGAGCAGGCAGCTGCATGGTGCTTAGTTGTCAGACGGGGTTAAACCACAACACTTCCCAATACACAATGCATGAGCACCCACAAAGTAAGGTCCAAAGGGTGCTTGGTGCTAGGGCTAAAAAAAAGGGTCACACGTACATCTGATACAGCTTAGACACTTTAGGTAAGTGAGGAATTCAAAGTTCTTCCCAATCCCTGGGACACTATGCTCCAGCAAAACCTTCATACACAAGGATACAGGACTCTCACATAGCTCTTAGCAGGGAGCCACAGGATCGCACACAAATAGGAGCTCAGAGGGACACCGGCAATGTTTGGAGACCTAAAATTAGCCTCAGCAGATGATTCTCTGCTCCATTCTTGGGAGCAGCGAGAACCGAACAAGGATCCAGCTGTCCCAACACTCCCATGAACAGGATCTTTGAATGCCCGACCTACTCACAACAGAGATGGTAGGGCAAAGAGGGGATTCCTCACATAACTCCAGTGCCAACACTCACAAGGAACCCAGGGCCCCATCTCTGAAGGAAGGGGGGCAGCATTTTCTTGGTGTTTTAAGACCACCTACTCCTAGATCAGCTGGTCAGACCAAGGGGGAATGGTAGGCCACACACACGAAGAGCGGGCTGAAGGACATTAGGCTAACCATTTTCTGTTGAAAACTTTCTGTTTCTCCACTTTGCCCAGTCTTTGAGTTTGCCAGCAAAGCATTCTATCCTATTCCTGACAGAGGCACTCCAAGTCTGTCCAAAGGTCTGCAAGCTGTACTGGCTTCCAGATTACTACCAGCTTCGCTAAACTGAACCAACATGGTTAATTCAGCCTGAATGTAAATTCATTGATATCACTTGGATTAGGTAATATCCAGATCAGAGAGAAGAGGTTCATGCTATGATCAAGTAATGGGAGAAGCAGCTGCATTACACATACATGGGAGATTTTCTGTCCCTAGAGGTATCAAGCTATTTGGTCAGCAACTATGAGGGAAGAAAAATGGATCCAACATGGTGAGCCTTGTGTTAAAATGCCTCTTCCTAAAGGGCAAGAGCGCTTTGAGAGGATGCTGTGAGCTTGGGGGACTGGGATCTGCAAGCAGCTCCAGAAGAACCAAGGGCAAATCTTTCCTCTGGTCTTAACCATATAATGTGTGTCTTCCATCACTAAGATTTAAGATCCCAGCATGCAGCAGGTATTAGATTGCCACAAGTCAGCTGGATAAAGGGGCTGCTCAGCTGCCACTACACTGTGTGGTTGCAAGTCCGCAGCACACAACACTGACATGACGGAAGGATATTTTCCTTCCTTCCTTTTAACTTCCCAGGTAAACCTAACCCTTGCTTCACTGGCTGTGGGTACAGCATCAGGCTGAAGGATGAGATGGCCTGAGGCCCAGTCTCTAGCTGTCTCTGGACTGGCCCCAAACATCCCTGCAGACACTTCAGAGGAAGAGCCACACAGCCTGGGCAGCCACACGGCCTGAACAGCAGCTTCTGCAGTATAACTTCTCCTGGACAAACAGTACCTGAGCCCTGGTATACGAATAGGGCTCTGCCCGCCCTCTGCAGAGGCACAGTGCTGATGAGGGCTCCCTTCCCAGCAAGGACATATGGTGCAGGTGGGCTGGCACTGCTGGATCCCAGGCAGGCACACAAACATTGGGGATGGGGCAGGAAGCTGACCAACAGGAACCAGGCTGGTTACCTCAGAGTAGAGATAGCCTGACCTTTGCATTTCTTGACAGTGGCAATACAAAGACTATCAGTCCTCCTGCAACACTTCACTGTCATTTTAAGCCTCATACACCATGGTCAAGGGCCTCCTTGAGCTACAAAATCCTAGGAAAACATAGGCAGAGCTCAACTGATTCAGTCAGAAAACAGGATTGTGTCTGCCATGAGCTCTAGGTGAGGTCTCAGCTCTGTTTGTTCAGGTGAAGGACAGCAAGCAGCACAAAGCAGCATCTGGGAAATGCTCCCATTCAATACTGCTGGTACACAGAAGGACAAGTGCAGCAAGCAGCACAGACTGTAAGGTCCCAAAGGCTTAAAACACACTGTCCCTGAGCTCCTGACAACCGTGTGCAGGGTTCAGCAATCATAACAGTACCAGACGCACACATTCAGGCTCCCTTCACCACACTGCCAGTCAGGTAGGAGGCAGGAGCACTCAGCAAGCCTGGGCTGTGGAAGAACCTCACTGGGTGACACCTGCTCTACAGAGCTGTCCCTAGGGGCCAAGGGAAGGCCCCATGATGACTGAATGGGTGCTAACCTTGGTGTAGGGCTGAAGCAGATGGGAAAGGCAGCTCTCAGGACCCACAGTGTGGTCTTGCGGTCACTTGTTCCAGCTGTCTTGGGTCACCTGGAAAGACAAGTGCACAGACACACGTTCAGCTCAGCTGGGAAATAACCTGCCCACACAAGACAACCTTCTGAACACTGGGTGAACAGTAATTGCTCATCCAAGCCAAGCGAGTTAGTGGCCTATGAACAGAAGCAACAGACCAGCACCTCAAAGATCCTGCCCTATCTTTTAGCAGTGCTGAGGCTGCCCCTCCAGTTGCAGTTCTGACTCCCTTCCGGTGTTCCAGTTATCACCCCAGTTCCCTACATGACTCCAGGTGGGTGCACGGCTGGCTCCACGGAGAGGTTCTGCTAAGGTCGCTGCCACCATCCTCCTTCCCCAGATTTTAGTGGCAAGTAAAGGCCTTTCTGTGCCCTTGGCTTTGTTCTCCACCCACACAGCTGTATGTTGCTCTACCACACAGACTTTGTCAGTACTCAAGTAGATGCACTGGCATATGGTTTATCTGCAAGAACAGACTCTGGCTACGATCCCCACAGGCCACCCGCTAAACCACCCCATGGGGACGTGGAGCCAGGGAAGGGAGGGCCAAATCCACTGCTGCAGAGACACTGCTCCCAACAACCCAAACAGACCAAGCTTAGTCCAATGCCGCAGCGTTTCCCAGGTTACAGCAAAGGGGAAAAACGACAACTTAATAGAAATCTCCAAGAGGCCTGCCAACACCGTCACAAAGACGTTGTTTAAGACTCCTCCCCAGGCTCCCAGTGCTGTAATTACAGACTACCAGAGATCGCAGTGTGTGGGGGCTAGGTCCTCATGCCCAGCAGGTCCTGAAAACCAGGACGATATCAGCCTCCCCAAAACCAGGTCTGTTATTCCCCAGGCGCAATGAACAAAAGCTGCTTAGGGGCAGTCCCTGCTCCCCAGGCTGCCCTTCTCGCATGGGCACCCACCCTGTGGCACCACCAGCAGCACAACCCAGCTGTGACCAGAGCCACAGGACTAGTGAGCAGAGCACTGCAGGCAGCTACACTGCTGGTCCCCTAGAAACACAGCTTTTAGACCATGCTGCGGGGAGACACTGCCACACTAGCTTACCGGTACACCAGCCCTTAAAACAGCAATGAAGGCATCCAGAAAGTTTGTGCTTAATGTCACCTATACCTACACAGCTAGCAAGTCAACCTGCACCCAGGAGATGTCCGACCCAGAGGCTGCACCAGCTATGTTTTTGGAGGCTGCACCAGGGCTATGTTTTTGGAGAGCTTACAAGCAGAACAAGACCCAGTAAATTTAGTATGTGTATATGTAAATACATATATTTAAAACCTTCCACCAATTTTCTGCTCTAACGCACTACCTTCCAGAGAAGGCTCTAAGTCTGAGCAGTGACAATTGCTTTGGACATGGCTGAAGTCCTGCCACCCACACATTGCCATCGCTTCCTGTGCTGAAGCAGTATATCTGACAGGGATGGGTTGAAAACACATGCCAGGAAGAATGCAATTACCCCAAATGGACTGAGGCCAGGAGATCTGGATTATCACCTCAACTCTTGCATACAGGGTTTTGCATTGTTTTTCACTTCCAATGAGAAGAATCACAGAGTTGATATCAGCCCTGGCCCGGGACACAGATTCATTGCTAAAAAGCACTTCCAGCTGAATCACTAACTGCACTTCTTGCAGCACACAGGACTCCTTTGAAGGCTTCACATCCAAGTATTGTTCTACCATCAGGCTGCTTAGCTGGGGGGTTGTCCAGGCCACAACATAGGCAAGGATGACTGCAAACCACCAGCCAGTCCTGAAAAAGCTCTCTGAAATGCAGAGCATGTGAGCTCAGCTGCTCTTCATTCAGGATTCACAACCAGCTGAAGACACTGACAGAAACAGAGGGAAAACATGTTAATTGGCAGCTGGGTATTCACGAGGCCAGGCAAGTGAGACTATGAAAGACAAGCAAAGGCAAAGTGAGGATGAAGACTTGCACAAACTCTTCCCAGCCAAAGAAAATAATTTTTAAAGCAAACCTCAAACTTTGTGAGATCAAGCTCTCTAGAGGTTATATTCACCTGGACCACTTGCTCATGAGCAAAAGCAAAATGAAAAAACAAAGAAAAAGAGCTGGTCAGAAAACAGGCTTCAGGGAACAGCTGCCAGGGGCTGCAAACAGAAGGAAAGATCAGAAACACACAGTGGCATTACCAGGACACGGGGACCCACACAACCCGCTGGAGAAAGGGTGTCCCTCAGAGTGATGCAATGTGGAGAGGCATCAAGCAAAACCCTCCCACAGAAGACTCTCACTTCCAAGTAACCCACAACAACACCCCCCACAAGCCATCTGTTAAGGTACAAATGTCTCCCTTTGGGATTTCTCCTGTGTTGCCCTTCACACCTGTCCTGCCTCAAACCTGACTCATTAATTCCTTCAGCCATGGAAGCCTCTTATAGTTTGATAACAGCTCCAGTGACAGTGTGGTGAAGACACCACTTTTCTAACCACTATAGCTTCACTTCTTCCCTTCACTTTTCCCTTCAGCGGCTGCATACCTATGAATGACATGTTTTCTTGTTCTGCACCCAGGAAGAGTCCTGGCCACAGGCACTGTGCATTTCCACACAGCACACGATGGTGTCTACCAAATCTAGAAGGGGACAAGCATGGGCAGGCCCAGAGCAGCAAGGGCAAGTAAAGGCCTCATCAGGAAGAGTCAAGAGTTATTGACTTTCAAGAGTCAGATCAGTAAACTATGCCCTTGAACCACCCTCAGACCCAGAAGCAGTGGGGAAGGTTTGGGTGTCTCTGCCCTCTGCTACTCAGCATGGCTGTGCAGAAACAGGCCAGGGCAAGCAAGCTGGCAGCAGACAGCAAGGAAAAAAACCAGTGGCGCAGATGTGCTTCCCTGCCCTCAGAGGTCCCTTGAACCCAGGGAGGGAACTTCCTTTCCTCCTCCTGCTCCGCATGCTCAGATCTGAAACTGGCAAGAGAACGGGGGCTGGGAAAGCTCAGAACCACAGCAGAGGGAGGGTGTATGTACTGGGGGCTTCATCTGCCTTGGAGGAAGCTTCCAGGAGCAAAACAGCAACACTACCAGTAAAATAAAAATTGTTATTGTTAAAATGTTATTCCCTAAAGTCATTTCTGCAGAGGGCAGATGCAAAGAACAGAGAATTGAGAGCTTCTCTGCCCAGCTTGATGCAAAGGCAGCGCAGCAGGGGAGCCCCTCAGCAAGCTGTGCCTCAAATACCAGGGTCCCCAAAGGCAGTGCAGGGTGACCCCACCAGCTTTCCTTCCAGCGGTGGGTAAGCAATCTCTCATGCAGGGAACAGAAACAAGATGAGTGGCAGAGCTGAAATGGCTCCAGCCCTGCCCCACTCGGAGGCCGGACCTTGTTCAGCAAGCCCAGCTCCCCAAGGACTGCAGCTCTACGGCTGGGGCAACAGGAGGACTCTGCTGTCCCCACACATCCTGGCCACCCCAAGCATTCAGGTCCCATGACAACCAGCAGGAACCCTGCAAAACATTATGGGAGCAGCTGCTGCAGATGAGGAAAAGGCTGGTGCCACCTCCTCTGCATGAGACACCATGGCAGCAGTGTCCCACTCTGATCCACACCCTGTACAAACCTCCCTGCCCACCCAGCTCCCACCTCTGCCCTGCCTCAGCAGAAGCAGAGCTGCCAGGAGGCTGCAGAAATGCCCAAACGGGTGACAGGGCTGCGCAGAGGGAGCTGCATGCTGGGACATGTAGTCCCTGCCAGGGCCCTGGCGCTTGCTCACGCCGAGACCCGCACAACGTGAATTGTTGCTGACGAGGCTTTACAGGATGACTTAATTCTCACGGTCCTCATCCCCCTTCTAAAGCAGAGCCCAGCCAAAAATCTAGTGCTTTCTCATTAGGAGTTTTCTCCTGTTTCACCTGCCAGACCTTGTTCACCTTCTGCATGTTACCAAGTTTGTCAAGACTCTCCTTTATGTCAGGGTTCAATCCTGCTACACTCTCCACAAGGGCCCAACTCCCCCTCTCTGTTGAGGCTAACAAACACAGTTGAGGCAGAGAACAAGTCCATAAGCAGACCTTTGCTTGTGCATTGCTTTTTAGAAAAGGCACTGAGTGGAAGTGACTTTTAAAATACCCTAAGACGCAGTACAACATTCCTCTACCACACACTTCCCACGGCAGCTGCAAACTCCATGCTCCTTCCTTAAAAAATAATAATAAAAAAAGTAGTCTGGAAACCCCAGAGATAATCTATGCATCTCGTACATGTCACCTGATGGTTGCAAGCAAGCAAGCCCACCACCCCAGCTCCCATCACCCAGGCTCCCCTCTGCCTTCCCTAACGCACAGCAGCTTTCTAAACATAACATCTGGGACTGCCAAGAGTACACTGCGCACCGCCTGTGTGATTTTTATAGAAACTGAGTGCCTTGGCCACAGCAAAATGCTGGAAAACCCCACCAGGTCTGTAGCTGCTGATTTTGGGTGGGTAAGCGTCCCCCAGGATGGGTCCTTCCGCCCGTGGCGGCTGTCACCAGAGGGCAGCAGGCCTCCCGCCGCGGATGCTGGGGTTCACATCCACTCCAGCGCCTGTTTTTGCAGCCCCACGCTGAAGGGTGTGATCTACCCACGGGGCAGGTGTCGGTCAAGGAGGTGCTGGATGAGCCGCAATCTCCTGCTCCCCGCCTCGGTGGGCCGAGTGGCCGGGGCCACGCTGCGGGCCTGCGGCATGTCCCCACCGCCACGGGTCCCTCGGACACGGCCTGTCCTGGGGGACGAGAACAGTCAGCAAGTCCCAGCTGGGGCTGGGTTTGAGCTGATGCCCGGGAGGAAGAGGAGGAGGAGGAGGAGAAGGCCCCATCCTGTCGGCAGAGCCGTGGGCAGGCTGTCCCTGCCCATGTCACGGCAGAGAGGACGTGGCCTTGGTGGGGGAGCACATCCTCCCTGAGCTGCCAGAGGCCTTGGCGGGGGACTAGCAGCCGGGATGGGGGGCACCCCCCAAACAGAGCCTGCACCACCACAGCCACAGCACAGCCCCGCTGTGTGTCAC